ATGAAATACCTTGTTGGCAAGGTTAACGTTAGACTGTGGTATCCAAAAGGCTCCTCTTGTCATCTCGTTGGTTATTCCGAATCGGACTTTGCCTGTTGCAAATTGGACCGTAAAAGTACGAGTGGGACTTGCCACTTACTTGGTAGTTCTTTAGTCTCATGGTTTAGCAAGAAACAAGTGAGTGTTGCGTTATCCACAACCGAAGCGGAATACGTAGCCGCCGGTAGTTGTTGTGCTGAAATCCTTTGAATGAAGCAAGAACTTGTGGACTATGGCCTTAGTATCAATCACGTTCCTCTTCGTTGTGATAATACTAGCGCTATAAGCTTGACGAAGAACCCTGTTCCTCACTCAAGGACAAAACACATTGACATTAGGCATCAGTTCATTAGAGATCATGTTCTCAAAGGTGATGTCGAAATTGAGTTCGTTGAAACACACAACTAATTACTCGACATTTTCACAAAACCTTTAGAGAAAGAGTTGTTCTTCCGCATTCGAAGTGAACTCGGAATCCTTGACTCCACGATGATCTAAGTTGTGCATTTTCACTTGTTAAACGTTTACTAAGTTGAGCGTCGGAGAACTTTTTCTTTCTTGCAGGTACCCTGTTCATAAAATCAGGGGGAACCATGCAAATAATGCTATCCAGGAGACCAACAACGCTGTAGAAGGGAACACCGTCAACCAACTTGGGCCAACAGCGCTGTACAATACGTCAACAACGATGTCATAGGGAGCCCTCTTACTTTATGCTTTCCAGAATCTTTTCAAACATCGCTGTACATTTTTTAACATCGCTATTTCCCTAAAACACCATGTTTTCAACCAAAACCAGAAAGTTTTTCAACAGCGATGTCCACTTTTGCAACATCGCTGTCTATTTTTTACAAATTTTATCCCATCGTAAACAACGATGTAGGGAAACCCAACATCGCTGTTCTAATGGGTTTAAACCCTTAAACATTTCCAGAAAGTTTTGGAACATCGCTACAGGGAACCCAACATCGCTGTCCATTTGACACCTGGCTTTAAAAACTTAACGTAGAACAGCGCTGTCCCAACAGCGATGTCGCCTTTGGAACATCGCTGTTCAAGTTCATTTTTTCAAAAAAATATCCGTTGGCAACTGTATTTATTTGGCCTCCTACTCACCTTTTTCTCACATCTAAACACAATTTTCCTCATTCCCCTTGCTAATTTCATCTTCTCTACAACTTTTTCTTGAGAATTCTTCATCATCATGGGCAAAGATAAGAGCAGGGCAGGAACCTCCGGGAAATCAAAGTCCAAATCCCGGGAGCCGGCAACAAACTCTGAGGAGCGCCTCTACTACGGCGACGGGTCGTACCTCTGGTTTGATTCCGAGGAGGAGCGCACCCGCTTTCTCACCTTCTTCTCCAAGCAGGTTGTGGCTCCCCCACAGATTGTCCTGGAGCACTTCCCAGAGTTGCAAGGCTACGACTTCCTCGACGGGCAGCTTCACCAAACTGGCCTATGGCCGTTCGTCTCCCGGGCTCAGAGAGAGATCAACCGGGCGCTTATTCGGGCCTTCTACTTGAATCTCCGGCGTGAGGATGACGTCATCTACAGCCTCGTCAAGTCAACGCCGATTGAACTCACCGTGGAGTGTCTTGGGCACATCGCTGGCCTCCCCTACCAAGGCGACGACATCTCCACCTATGGCGGAGAAGATTGGGTCCTCAATAATGAGGGCCTAGTCCTCGACAAGCTCGGCATCACCGACCTCATCCGCCATCCCACAGGCCGCCCCACCATCCACTCTGTGACCCCCGAGAGTCGTCTCCTTCTCTACATCGTGTCCCAGATTATCAAGCCCCAGAAGCATGGGCACAGAATCATGTCCGGTGAGGACCTCAAGCTCCTCCACGCGATCATGCACTCAGCGCCGATCAATTGGGCGAAGTTTGTCATGATCTACATGACGATGGCCGCGTCTACCGCCCACGATCACCTCCTCCCGTACCTTTTCTTGGTGATGGACATCCATGAACGGTTCAAGGTCACCACACCCGTTGGCCCGCTCACCAAGGCCACGAAGCTTTGGACGATCAGCGCCCAAACCTTCACCAAGCGGTCGGACAACGCCGTGCCTGCCACTGCCGCACGCCGCCGTCCTGCCAATGGCCCAGCCGAACCCCAGGCCCGGGCGAATCTTGCCTCCATCGCCGACTCCCTCAACCGGCTGCACTTCAAAGTTGACGGGATGGACGGGTACCTTGAACGGCTCGACGAGGCTATCCAACGCCAAGGGCATTCCATGAACGCGTACTTCCAACGCGTCAACTACGTCCCCCCACCGTACCAAGGCACGTTCCTTAGGCAAGTGTACGGTGAAGAGGACGAAGACGATGGCTCCTACGCCCCGTCAAACTCCCCGGACGAGGATGAGTTCGACGACGCCATTGGCAGTGATGAGATGGACGTCGACGACGACAAGGAGGAAACCGAAGACGAAGACTAGGCCGCCCCTAGAATTTCTATCTCCTTTCTTTCAATCGTCATATTTTTTTATATGCTTCTGTTGTACTCCGCTATTTCGCATTTCAATAAATAAAAGTTATATTTTATCTTTTTGTTAATGTGAAAAGGGGGAAGAAAAGGGCTATGCATATACTAAGGGGGAACGTCACTAAAAACGGGATCGTTTGATTTTAATATGACTACTTGCTTTTAAGCACAAATTAAGGGGGAACTTTTTCACACCTTTTCAAAATCAAATATCCCTTAGTATGCATATCCCCGTCTTGTTTTCCATTATCAAAAAGGGGGAAATTGTTGGAACACGGGTTTACGCCTACGTCATACTAAACCGTGTTCGTTTTATGACATGTTTTGATAATGCCAAACCGCCGTGATAACAAAATCAAGCTGAGCAAATCAAAGGCAAAGGAACCTGGCATGACGAATTGAAAACCAAGAACCAAGAACCATGAACGAAGACTTAGAATTAATATAGTCGGTCTTAATGTGATCAAGATTGGTACAAACTTCTAAAACTTGGCTCTCTAGGCTCACTTCATTAAAATATTCTTTTGCATATTAAAAAAAGATTTTCATAAGTTTTAAACAAGCCTAAAACTCTTGGTGTTCGCCCAAACCAAAAACCAAGCCATCCGGCGTTCGGTTTTCAGAAACTGGTGTTCGGCATTCGGTTATCGGCGTTGGTTTTTGGAATCCGAACCAACCAAGTGGTTTTCAAAATTTTATGATTGGTTTTTACTTCTGGGCATATTTAAATAGTTCTCCATTAAAAACGCTTCAAAAACCACCCTTTGTTTTTGGTCGTTTAGTAAAAACCATGCAAAACGGCGTAAACTTTGCTAGCCGTGGTTTTTATCTAAATGACGTGGTTTTCAAGATGTTTCACTTGATTTTGTTAGAATAATAGACCAACGCCAGAGGGGGGGTGAATAGCAATTGATCGTAGAAATCGCAGGAATTTAAAAAATTAAAAGAGAAGTAAAGAGAAGAGTAAGAGGCACACCGAATTTTACCATGGTTCACCACAACTTGTGGCTAATCCAGCCTCCCGAGAGACTCTCTCGAGCTACACTACTATCTCGTTAAGCTTGCGGGTGCTTAACAAACCGTTACAACTTGAGAGTTCGAGTTACACGAACCTCAACGAGTCCTTCAAAGGAAACAGCCTTTCCTTTGAATCTACCGAGAGAAATACTTTCTCTCAAAGTGTGTAGGAACACAAATACACTCAAGAACGAGGCTCTCTTATAGAGTAGATTATGAGTAAACTAAGTACGCTCAAGAACACAACACAAGCTTCACAAAAATGGCTCTCAAAAAGCTATGAATAAAGAATGAGTGATTTGCAATGAAGGAGTTGGACTAAGCTGTTTCTGGGTCAACATCGCTGTCCTGAAACTTTCTGCCAATGCACTATATTTTTGGCTTAGGTTGGACAGCGCTGTAGGGAAGCCTACATCGCTGTTCCAGAAGTTTCTGGAAAATCCAACCTTGGCTCAATAGCGATGTCTAGTGTGCAACATCGCTGTTGGAAAACTTAACGCCAAACCATGGTTTTCAGCTACTCAAGCCAGACAGCGCTGTTGGGTGCACCAACATCGCTGTTGGGCTGGTTTAGCCAGACCCATGGTTGGTTTAGTCATGCCGTTAGCCGATGTCAAAAACGTAAGTTCTCCAAAATAAAAACTAAGTGTTGAAAACATTTTTTTATTGTATTTTGCTAAGAAATCAAGTAAAACAACTCAAAAACCACGTCATTTAGTTGAAAACCAAGGCTAACCCAGTTTGTGTTGTTTTGCATGGTTTTCACTAAACGACCATAACCGGAAGGTGGTTTTTGAAGCGTTTTTGTTGGTAAAAACCAATCATAAAAAGGTAAAAACCACTTGGTTGGTTCGGATGCCCAAAAACCAATGCCGAAAACCGACAGCCGAACGCTGGTTTCTGAAAGCCGAACGCCGGATGACTTGGTTTTTGGTTTGGGCGAACTCCAAGTGTTTTTCGCCAGGTTTAAAAACTTATGAAAAACATTTTTGAATTTGCAAAAAGGGTTTTGATGAATTGAGCCTAGAGAGCCAAGATTTGGAAGTTTGTGCCGGTCTTGATCATGTCATCATGCCGTGTTCTTGATTCTTGGTTCTTGGTTCACATGTCATCATGCCGTGTTTCTTCGCCTTGGTTTTGCTCACTTTAGTCTTGTTGTGTCACGGCGGATTGGCATTATCAAAACCTGTCATAAAAACAAATTCCACAGTTTAGTACGACGTAGGCGTAAACCCGTGTTCCAACAATTTCCCCCTTTTTGATAATGGCAAACAAGACGGGGATATGCATACTAAGGGATATTTGACTTTGAAAAGAGTGAAAAAATTCCCCCTTAATTTGTGCTTTAAAAAATTGTCATATTAAAATCAAACGATCCCGTTTTTAGGGACGTTCCCCCTTAGTGTATGCATAACCCTTTTCTTCCCCCTTTTGACATTAACAAAAAGATAAAGGATAACTTTTATTTATTGAAGATGGGAAATAGCGGAGTACAACGGAAGCATTAAATAAAACAGGATAATTAAAATAAAAGAGAGAAATTCTAGGGGCGTCCTAGTCTTCGTCTTCGGTTTCCTCCTTGTCGACGTCGACGTCCATCTCATCACCGTCAACGGCGTCGTCGAACTCGTCCTCGTCCGTGGAGCTTGACGGGTCGTAGGAGGCATCGTCTTCGTCCTCGTCACTGTACACTTACCCAAAGAACGTGCCATGGTACGGTGGGGGGACGTAGTTAACGCGTTGGAAGTACGCGTTCAAGGCGTACCCTTGAAGTGCAGCCGGTTGAGAGAGTCGGCGATGGAGGCAAGGTTGGCCCAGGCCTGGGGTTCGGCTGGGCCAGCAGCATAACGGCGCCGTGGCACGGCAGTGGCAGGTCCGGCGTTGTCCGACCGCTTCTTGAAGGTTTGGGTGCTAATCGCCCAAATCTTCGTGGCCTTCGTGAGTGGGCCAACGGTGGTGTTCACCTTGAACCGTTCAAAGATGTCCATCACGACGAACGAGTACGGGAGGAGGGGATCGTGGTCGGTGGATGCGGCAATCGTCATGTTGATCATGACAAACTGTGCCCAATTCATTGGGGCCGAGTGAATGATCGCATGGATGAGTTTGAGGTCCTCACCGAACATGATTGTGTGGCCATGCTTCCGGGGCTTGATGATTTGGGACACGATGTAGAGAAGAAGACGGCCTTCGGGGTTAGCGGAGTGGATGGTGGGGCGGCCCGAGGCATGGCGGATGAGCTCGTTGATGCCAAGCTCGATGAGGATAAGGCTCTCGTTGTTGAGCACTCCGTCCTCTCCGCCATAGTGGGAGACGTCGTCGCCTTGGTAGGGGAGGTCGGCGATGCGCCCAAGCTGCTCAACGGAAAGCTCTATCGGCGTGCTCTTGACAAGAGAGTAGAGCACGTCGCCCTCACACCGGAGGTTGGAGTAGAAGACCCGAATTAGGGCCGGGTTGATCTCCTTCCGAGCCCGGGAGACGAATGGCCAAAGGCCGGCTTGATGAAGCTGCGCGTCGAGGTCGTCGTAGCCCTGCATCTCCGGGTAGCGCTCTGGGATGATCCGTGGAGGAGCCACGACCCGTTTAGAGAAGAAAGTGAGAAAGCGGGTGTGCTCCTCCTCGGAATCGAACCAGAGGTACGATCCGTCGCCATAGTAGAGGCGTTCCTCGGTGGATGTCGTAGGCGCCCGGGATTTGGACTTTGATTTCCTGGAGGTGGCAGCCCTGCTCTTGTCCTTGCCCATGAAGAGAAAACTCAAGAGAGAAGAGTAGAGATGATGAAATAAGCAAAGATGTTGAAGAGAATTGTGTTTGTGTGTGTAAAAGTGAAGAGAGGGGGTCCCATTTTATAGAGAAAGAGGTCTCCAACGTCCAGATTTTCAAAAATATGGCTGTTGGATCAATTAATGCTGGTGCCAACAGATATTTTTTTTTGAAAAATTTATCCAGAACAGCGATGTTCCAAAGGCTACATCGCTGTTTGGACAGCGTTGTTGAGCCTCTAGACAGCGCTATTATGCGTCAAGTTTTAAAAACAAGTGTTAAATGGACAGCGATGTTGGGTTCCCTACAGCGATGTTCCAAATCATCCTGGAATTGTGTAAGGGGTTGAACCCATTAGAACAGCGTTGTTGGGTTTCTCTACATCGCTGTTTTACGATAGAGAAAAAAATTTGTAAAAGCGGACATCGATGTTGAAAGTGGGACATCGCTGTTTGAAAAGTTTCTGGTTTTGGTTGAAAACAAGGTGTTTTGGGTAGACAGCGATGTTTTAAGAAGGAACATCGATGTTCAAAAAGTTTCTAGAAAGTGAAGAGTAAGGGACTCCCTGGGACAGCGCTGATGGCGTGTTGTATAGCACTGTTGGCACAAACTGGTTGACGGTGTTTCTCTCAACAGCGCTGTTGGGTCTCTAGGACAGCGCTATTTGCATGGTTCCCTTTGATTTTATGAACGGGGTACCTGCAAAAAAGAAAAAAAATTCTCCGACGCTCAAGTTAGTAAACGTTTAACAAGTTTAGATGCACAACTTAGATCATCGTGGAGTCAAGGATTCCGAGTTCACTTCGAATGCGGAAGAACGACTCTTTCTCTAGAGGTTTTGTGACAATGTCGGCTAATTGGTTGTGTGTTTCAACAAACTCAATTTCGACATCACCTTTGAGAACATGATCTCTAATGAAATGATGGCTAATGTCAATGTGTTTCGTCCTTGAATGAAGAACGGGGTTCTTCGTCAAGCTTATTGTAATGCCCCGAAATCTGGCCCAAAAGCATTAATTAAATTGTTAGAGCAATTGATTACGAATTGGGCCTAAAAAGGGGTGAAAATTATAATTTGGATTCTAAGCCCAACTTTTATGTCATCTCGTAGGAAATATTTTTGTGATCGCGTCGGTTCAGACGGCTCGCGAATCGGAGTTATGGAGCTCATGTTATGACTATTTAATCAGGTATTTTGGGTCCGAAGCCCAATCCTTTTTGGAATGGGACCATTAAATAAACCTAAACTAATTTAAACCACTCGATCCTTATCTTCTTTCGTTCTTCTCCTTCTTCGGTTCTTCTTCTTCTTCTTCTTGTTCGTTCGTTCTTCTTCTTCGATTCTTCTTCTTCTTTCTTCTTTCTTCTTCTTCTTCTTCTTCTTCTTTCTTCTTTCTTCTTTCTTCTTCTTCGATTCTTCCTCGTCGCCGTCCAATTGGAGCAGCCAGCCGCCGGCGTCGCCGCTCAACGCCGGTCGCCCTTCTCCAGCCGCCGTCGCCGAGCCTCCAGCTGCTGTTTCACCTTCGCCGGAAATCCGCCATCATCGCCGACGAATTGCAGCGCCGCCACGCCGAGCGCTGGACGTCGCCTCCACTGCCGGCGTCCTTCCTCGCCGTCGAGCGCAGCGCCGCCAGTCGCCTCCAGCCGCCGTCGCCCATAGCACAGCGGCCATCCTCGCCGTCGAGTGCAACGCCGCTGTTTCGCCTTCGTCGGTCGTCCGCCGCCGTCGATTGCAGCGCCGCCAGTCGCTGCTCATCGCTGTCGAGTTGCCGCTCCGCCACTGTCGCTGGCGTCCGTCACCGTCGCCGCATCCAGCCGCTGCCCCGAGTTGATATCGCCGGCAGATTAACCTCCACGCCGGATTGATCGGTCGATTTCGCATTTTGACTCAATTTGACCCGTTCGTTTGATTTCGTTGATTTGTCTTCCGTTCGAGATATCGATTCGATTTCGGCGTAATCCAAGTCCGTACTATGAAGTTAATAGCATTTAGAATAGATTTAATGGTTCGGATCGTTATATGTGTTTAAGCTATAATTTGGCTAAATTGGTTAATTGAATTAAATTGATTATTTGAATTGAATTGTTGAGGATTATGGATTGACTGAACAGGTTTGACTTTGACTTGGGTTAGGTCACGTTTGACTTAGGCTTTGACTGGATATTCTGTCGACGTAGGTTTGACCGAATGGTTAAATCCAAGACTTTAATGAATTAGTTAAGTTAATTAATTAATTCTAATCGGTGATTAAGGTCAATTGGTTTATTGTGATTGAACATAGAAACTGGCCATTGCTCGGGCGGCTGCAGGGCCTGGTCAGTGAGGTTAAGACGTGCGCACAAGGGTCTGTGATCTTGGGTTTGAGGCTATCGCCCGAGGGATCCTACCTCCACCGAATTGAGGCTATCTTCGGTATTACGGATTGAGGCTATCTCCGTCATAGGCATTAAATGTTAAGTGGTTTGACTTTGGTGAAAGTCTAAATTGGTTTGACCGGTGGTCAAAGAGTTCATGAGAAACCCGTAACACCTAAATCATTTTGAAAAGAAAGAAAATAAGTTGACTGTTGGTCAACCGTCTAAAGAACCGAACGTAAAGTTGAATTGATTTTTATTAAAAGGATAAACATATGCACGATCTTAATTGTTGAATTATTATGCTTATTCTTGTGCTACAATGGAGTACCACTCAGCGTCAATGCTGAGCGGATAACGTTGTTTTTCTTTTTGCTGTCCGTAGGTGATCAGACAGATGAACCTAGAGCCGATCCCAGAGGGCATTGAGGAGGAGATGTACGATGGCGTGGCTGCCTCTTTAATCTGTTGATTATGCTTTATTTAATTAACTTTAATGCTTATTACGTTTTCGGGCAAGATCCCAAGTTGTTTGACTATAAAAAGGATTCCGCATTATTTTAAATTACTCCGATGGATTTTTATATGTATTGAAAGAACATTTGTTTAAAATTGTTTTGAAAATGTTGCAAATTCGGATACCAATTCAGTGGCACACCGGTCCGCTGTCTCACGGGTTTGGGTCATGCGGGTTAGGGTGTTACACTTATGGCGCTAGTATTATCACAACGAAGAGGAACATGATTGATACTATGGCCATAGTCCACGAGTTGTTGCTTCATCCAAAGGATTTGAGCACAACAACTACCGGCGGCTACATATTCCGCTTCGGCTGTGGATAACGCAACACTGACTTGTTTCTTACTAAACCATGAGACTAGAGAGCTACCAAGTAAGTGGCAAGTCCCACTCGTGCTTTTACGGTCCAATTTGCAACCGGCAAATTCAGAGTCGGAATAACCAGCGAGATGACACGAAGAGCCTTTTGGATACCACAGTCCAATGTTAACCGTGCCAACAAGGTATTTCATGATCCGTTTCACCGCTGTTAAGTGCGATTCCTTCGGACATGATTGATACCTTGCGCAAAGGCATACGCTAAACATGATATCCGGCCTACTAGCGGTAAGATAGAGAAGGGATCCGATCATACCTCGATACTTTTTGACTTTTACTTCCTTACCTTTCTCGTCTTTGTCTAGATGGTCGGACGTGCTCATCAGGGTTGCCATGGCTTTGGTGTTGTCCATTTCAAACCGTTTTAGGAGCTCCTTGCAATATTTAGTTTGACAAATGAACGTGCCATCATTCTTTTGCTTGACTTGGAGTCCCAAAAAGAATGTGAGCTCACCCATCATCGACATTTCGAACTCGCTTGTCATTAACGTTGAGAATTCCTTGCACAAAGACTCGTTAGTAGCACCGAATATAATATCGTCTACATAAACTTGAGCCAAAAGGATGTTATTGTTTTTACTCTTGATAAAAAGTGTAGTGTCAACCTTTCCCCTTTGGAAACCACTATCCAAAAGAAATTTACTCAACCATTCGTACCAAGCACGGGGTGCTTGTTTAAGACCGTAGAGCGCTTTCTTGAGTTTGAAGACATGGTCCGGAAACTCAAAGTCTTCAAACTCCGGGGGCTGGTCAACATACACTTCCTCTTGAATAAAACCATTGAGGAAGGCACTCTTAACATCCATTTGATAAAGTTTAAAATCCATAGACGAAGCAAAAGCAAGAAGTAAACGAATAGCTTCTAAACGTGCTACAGGTGCATAAGTTTCTTTGAAATCAATGCCCTCTTCTTGATTGTAGCCTTTAGCTACGAGCCTTGCTTTGTTTCTAGTGATTATTCCATTTTCATCAAGTTTGTTACGGAACACCCATTTCGTACCAATAACCGTACAATCATCGGGTCTTGGCACCAATTCCCAAACGTCATTCCGTTTGAATTGGTTTAGCTCCTCTTGCATAGCCAAGGTCTAATGTTCATCGTTTATTGCTTCGGAAATGGTTGTAGGTTCAATTTGAGAAACAAAAGCCATGTGTCCTACGGTGTCTCTAAGTGAGTTACGAGTACTTACCCCGCGGTTGATGCTACGGATTACCTGGTCAAGTGGATGATTCTTGTGCATTCTCCAAGCGATGGGAAGCTCGGTTTCCTCTTGTTCCTGGGCGTCCTCTTGTTCTTCTTCGTCCGCTTGGTCCTCATTTTCGACCATCACTTGAGGTGTTTCCTCAGGTTGTGGTTGCGGGTTGGTGTATAATGGCGTGTTTTCCTCATCGTCTTCTATGTTTATCCTTTCAAGTGAGTCTGCAAGATCATCACAAATAGCCTTTCTCGCCAAGCGAGTATTATCTTCGGAAAAAACAACATGAGGGGACTCCTCAATAGTCAAAGTACGTTTATTAAACACTCTATAGGCCTTGCAACGAAGTGAGTAACCGAGAAAAATCCCTTCGTCCGACTTCGCATCAAATTTTCCCAAGTTATCTTTGACGTTATTATGAATAAAACATTTGCAACCAAAGACTCGAAGATGGGAAAGGTTTGGCTTTCTCCCTTTGTATAATTCATAGGGCATTTTCATGAGTATTGGTCGAATGACCGCTCGATTTAACAGGTAGCTCGCGGTACTCACGGCATCCGCCCAAAAATACTTAGGGATTTTTGCCTCATTGATCATAGTTCTAGCCATCTCTTCGAGACATCTATTTTTACGTTCCACCACTCCATTTTGTTGTGGTTTACGTGGGGCTGAGAAGTTATGATCAATGCCAAGTTCGTCACACAAATCTGAGAACAAATTTCGTTCGAACTCTCCCCCATGGTCGCTTCTAATGGCTACTATGGTTGTTTCTTTTTCATTTTGAACTTTATTTAGAAAATTTTTGAAATCATGAAATGCTTCACTTTTATGAGTATGAAACAAGGTCCATGTAAACCTAGAGTAGTCATCGACAATCACAAACGAAAGTAGTTGCCACCAAAATTTTTCGTTCTAGAAGGACCAAAGAGATCCATGTGCAAAAGTTGAAGCGGTCTAGACGTTGAAAGAACGTTCTTAGAATTAAACGAGGCCCGAACTTGCTTCCCCTTTTGACACGCATCACATATAGTGTCTTTTTCAAACTTAAGTTTTGGAATGCCAATTACTAAGTCTTGTGAAACCAATTTGTTCAAAAGGTTCATGTTCATATGAGCTACCCTTCGGTGCCATAACCAAGTGTCTTCCTCTTTACTCATGAGGCACTTAGCAAAGCCAGAGGGAGATTTGTCTAAGTTAACCATAAAAATGTTATCTGTTCTATCACCACGTAGAATGACCTTATTGTCACTAAGGCGTTCTACCGTGCATGATTTTGAATCGAAGGTCACACGGTTTCCCCTGTCACATAATTGACTTATGCTCAAGAGATTGTGTTTAAGACCTTTAACAAACAAGACATTATCTATAGAGGAGTTTTAGATTTACCTACTGAACCAACGCCGATGATCTTTCCCTTGCTATTATCTCCAAAAACTACGTTTCCTCCTTTAGCGGGTTTGATTTGGAGAAACTTGGATGCATCCCCGGTCATGTGCTTGGAGCATCCGCTATCAAGGTACCAAAGTACACTTGATGCCTTCAAGCACACCTATGAAACACATCAATGAGTTTTAGGTACCCAATTTACGTTGGGTCCTCGGGTGTTAGGTGTGTGATGGTAGTGTGCTTGATTTNTGGCCTTTTCTAGGTGTCCTAGCATTATTTTGTCTATTTGAAAAATTATTTTTATGCACAAAATCATTTTGATAATTTTTTCTAGGTTGTCTAGCATGCACATTTTCATTCCTAGGTTTTTGTCTAGGTTGTCTAGTGTCCCTAGGTTGACTAGATTTTCTATTATCCTGATTTTTAACTTTCTTATGTTGAGCCTTAGGAGGTTGTCTGGGTGTTTGCTCAACGTTTTTATCCTTAGATTTATTTTTATCAAAACCTATTCCTTCCTTAGAAAAATGCATAGTGTCAAGGAGTAAATTAAGATCTTTGTATGGTGTATTAAACTTCTTAACCGTACTCTCAAGTTTTGCAACCTTTTCTTTTAAGGTTTTGCAAGATTCACATTCACTTGAAGAACTTTCTGGTTTGTCAGCGCTTCTTTTGCCATAAAATTTGTTTTCTTGTTTCAACCTTTCATTATCTTTTTTCAGCTTTTCAAAATCATTTTCAAGGGTTGAAAGACGTTTCTTTAATGATTTATTGGTTTTAGAAGCGCTAACAAATTCGTCATAAAGCTCATGAAGTGCTTCTTGCATTTCTTCAAAAGTATAAGAGTCGGAAGAAATGGTACATACCTCTTGAATGTCGTCGGTTTGATCTTCATGCGCAATGAGGCAGAGGTTGGCGGCTTCCTCCTCTTCTTGATCAGTTTACTCGTCGCCAGAGTTGCCACCCCATGAGATATAGGCTCGTTGCTTTTTGAAGCCAGGTTTGTCCTTGCTGCTTTTGCCTTTTGGACATCTTGGCTTGATGTGGCCTATCTCGCCACAGCCATAGCACTTTGGGGGACCGTCGTGCTTTCTTCCTTTCCGTTCAAATTCCTTCTTCATGAATTTGTGGAATTTCTTGATGACGAGTCCAAACTCGTTGTCGTCATTGCTTGAAGCTTCTTCCATGGTCTCCTTGGTTGCTTTCAGCGCTATTCCCTTCTTCTTTTGTTCATCCAAAGATGGGGTTAGGATAGTAGATTCATAAGTTTTGAGATTACTTCTTAACCCGTCGATGGTGACATTTGAGACTCCAATGGATTCATAGATTGCATCTGCCTTTGATCTCCATTCGGGTGTGAGACTTCGCAGGATTTTTCTCACAAGATCCTTGTTGGTGTAAGTCTTCTTGAGTGCATGAAGGTCGTTGATGATCTTTGAGAACTGATCGAACATGTCATCGATCTTTTCGCCTTCCTTCATTCTGAACATCTCGTACTCCTGCGTTAGGAAGTCAATTTTGGCTTCCCGAACTTGGTCTGTACCTTCATATGTGACCTCCAGCTTGTCCCACATTTCTTTTGCAGTGGTGCAGCAAGAGATCTTGCGATAATCATCAGGATTGCCGGCACAGTACAGCATGTTGATTGCCTTGGCGTAGTTCACCACCTTTTTGATGTCCTCGGCATCAAATTCGTCCTCGGTTTTTGGGACTGTGGTTTCTCCTACTTTCTTCACTGGGATTTGCTCTCCATTTTTGATGACCAACCATAATTGGAAGTTGGTGGAACGGATATAGATTCTCATCCGTTCCTTCCAATAGGAATAGTTGGTGCCATCAAAGAGTTGTGGCCTAGACGTAGACTGACCTTCTCCAATTCCTGCATAGAGATTTCTAGAAGAAGAACCCATGATCGCTTTACTCTGAAACGGTTAAGTTTGGACGCGAGTTAGGCTCCTATACCAATTGTTAGAATAATAGACCAACGCTAGAGGGGGGGTGAATAGCGTTTGATCGTAGAAATCGCAGGAATTTAAAAAATTAAAAGAGAAGTAAAGAGAAGAGTAAGAGGCACACCGAATTTTACCCTGGTTCACCATAACTTGTGGCTAATCCAGCCTCCCGAGAGACTCTCTCGAGCTACACTACTATCTCGTTAAGCTTGCGGGTGCTTAACAAACCGTTACAACTTGAGAGTTTGAGTTACACGAACCTCAACGAGTCCTTCAAAGAAAACAACCCTTCCTTTGAATCTACCGAGAGAAATACTTTCTCTCAAAGTGTCTAGGAACACAAATACACTCAAGAACGAGGCTCTCTTATAGAGTAGATTATGAGTAAACTAAGTACGCTCAAGAACACAACACAAGCTTCACAAAAATTGCTCTCAAAAAGCTATGTATAAAGAATGAGTGATTTGCAATGAAGGAGTAGGAGTTGTGATGTTTAAAACAGACCCAAACACCCCATTTTATAGTTGAAAAATAGGCTCGAACGGACCAAAACATTTAAGGGGTGGTTTGCACAATTTGTGGGATTTGATTAAATTTGGATCTGCTGAAATTCACCCAGACAGCGCTGTCCTAGGCTTGGACATCGCTGTTCTAGGCTTGCGTTTTGAAAAATGGGAAGCAACGGTCATGCCAACAGCGATATCCAATACCCCTACATCGCTGTTTTGGCCATTGACTTCCAAACAAAGAAAGTTTTGGCCTTAAATTCCTTCTAACGGTCAGGTCCCTACATCGATGTTCAATACTAGAACATCGCTGTTTAGGTCTGACTTTGAAGATGGAAGTTTGGCCTGACAGCGCTGTTTCTAGGTCAACATCGCTGTCCTAAAACTTTCTGCCAATGCACTATATTTTTGGCTTAGGTTGGACAGCGCTGTAGGGAAGCCTACATCGCTGTTCCAGAAGTTTCTGGAAAATCCAACCTTGGCTCAATAGCGATGTCTAGTGTGCAACATTGCTGTTGGAAAACTTAACGCCAAACCATGGTTTTCAGCTACTCAAGCCAGACAGCGCTGTTGGGTGCACCAACATCGCTGTTGGGCTGGTTTAGCCAGACCCATGGTTGGTTTAGTCATGCCGTTAGCCGATGTCAAAAACGTATGTTCTCCAAAATAAAAACTAAGTGTTGAAAACATTTTTTTATTCCATTTTGCTAAGAAATCAAGTAAAACAACTCAAAAACCACGTCATTTAGTTGAAAACCACGGCTAACCCAGTTTGTGTCGTTTCACATGGTTTTCACTAAACGACCATAACCGGAAGGTGGTTTTTGAAGCGTTTTTTTGGAGAACTGTTTAAATATGCCCAGAAGTAAACACCAATCATAAATAGTTAAAAACCACTTGGTTGGTTCAGATGCCCAAAAACCAATGCCGAAAACCGACAGCCGAACGCTGGTTTCTGAAAGCCGAACGCCGGTTTCCGAAAGCCGAACGCCGGATGACTTGGTTTTTGGTTTGGGCGAACTCCAAGTGTTTTTATCCAGGTTTAAAAAGTTATGAAAAACATTTTTGAATTTGCAAAAAGGGTTTTGATGAATTGAGCCTAGAGAGCCAAGATTTGGAAGTTTGTGCCGGTCTTTATCACATTAAGACCGACTCGACGCAATTCTAATTCTTTGTTCTTGATTCTTGGTTCTTGGTTCACATGTCATCATGCCGTGTTTCTTTGCCTTGGTTTTTCTCACTTTAGTCTTGTTGTGTCACGGCGGTTTGGCATTATCAAAACCTGTCATAAAAACGAACACAGTTTAGTACGACGTAGGCGTAAACCCGTGTTCTAACAATTTCCCCCTTTTTGATAATGGCAAACAAGACGGGGATATGCATACTAAGGGATATTTGACTTTGAAAAGAGTGAAAAAATTCCCCCTTAATTTGTGCTTAAAAAAATTGTCATATTAAAATCAAACGATCCCGTTTTTAGGGACGTTCCCCCTTAGTGTATGCATAACCCTTTTCTTCCCCCTTTTGACATTAACAAAAAGATAAAGGATAACTTTTATTTATTGAAGATGGGAAATAGCGGAGTACAATGGAAGCATTAAAAAAAACAGGATAATTAAAATAAAAGAGATAGAAATTCTAGCGGCGTCCTAGTCTTCGTCTTCGGTTTCCTCCTTGTTGTCGTCGACGTCCATCTCATCACCGTCAACGGCGTCGTCGAACTCGTCCTCATCCGGGGAGCTTGACGGGTCGTAGGAGGCATCGTCTTCGTCCTCGTCACTGTACACTTGCCCAAAGAACGTGCCATGGTACGGTGGGGGGACGTAGTTAACGCGTTGGAAGTACGCGTTCATGGCGTACCCTTGGCGTTGGACCGCCTCGTCAAGCCTCTCAAGGTAGCCATCCATCCCATCAACTTTGAAGTGCAGCCGGTTGAGAGAGTCGGCGATGGAGGCAAGTTTGGCCCAGGCCTGGGGTTCGGCTGGGCCAGCAGCAGAACGACGTTGTGGCACGGCAGTGGCTGGTCCGGCGTTGTCCGACCGCTTCTTGAAGGTTTGGGTGCTAATCGCCCAAATCTTCGTGGCTTTCGTGAGTGGGCCAACGGTGGTGGTCACCTTGAACCGTTCAAAGATGTCCATCACCACGAACGAGTACGGGAGGAGGTGATCGTGGTCGGTGGACGCGGCAATCGTCATGTTGATCATGACAAACTGTGCCCAATTGATTGGGGCCGAGTGCATGATCGCATGGATGAGTTTGAGGTCCTCACCGGACATGATTGTGTGGCCATGCTTCCAGGGCTTGATGATTTGGGACACGATGTAGAGAAGAAGACGGCCTTCGGGGTTAGCGGAGTGGATGCTGGGGCGACCCGAGGCATGGCGGATGAGCTCGTTGATGCCAAGCTCGTTGAGGATAAGGCTCTCGTTGTTGAGCACTGAGTCCTCTCCGCCATAGTGGGAGACGTCGTCGCCTTGGTAGGGGAGGCCGGCGATGCGCCCAAGCTGCTCAACGGAAAGCTCTATCGGCGTGCTCTTGACAAGAGAGTAGAGCACGTTGCCCTCACACCGGAGGTTGGAGTAGAAGACCCGAATTAGCGCCGGGTTGATCTCCTTCCGAGCCGGGGAGACGAATGGCCAAAGGCCGGCTTGATGAAGCTGCGCGTCGAGGTCGTCGTAGCCCTGCAGCTCCGGGTAGCGCTCCGGGATGATCCGTGGAGGAGCCACGACCCGTTTAGAGAAGAAAGTGAGAAAGCGGGTGCGCTCCTCCTCGGAATCGAACCAGAGGTACGATCTGTTGCCATAGTAGAGGCGTTCCTCGGTGGATGTCGTAGGCGCCCGGGATTTGGACTTTGATTTCCTGGAGGTGGAAGCCCTGCTCTTGTCCTTGCCCATGAAGAGAAAACTCAAGAGAGAAGAGTAGAGATGATGAAATAAGCAAAGATGTTGAAGAGAATTGTGTTTGTGTGTGTAAAAGTGAAAAGAGGGGGTCCCAATTTATAGAGAAAGAGGCCTCCAACGTCCAGATTTTCAAAAATATGGCTGTTGGATCAATTAATGCTGGTGCCAACGGATATTTTTTTTTGAAAAATTTATCCAGAACAGCGATGTTCCAAAGGCTACATCGCTGTTTGGACAGCGTTGTTGAGCCTCTAGACAGCAGTGTTCTAATGGGTTTAAACCCTTACACATTTCCAGAAAGTTTTGGAACATCGCTACAGGGAACCCAACATCGCTGTCCATTTGACACCTGGCTTTAAAAACTTAACACAGAACAGTGATGTCCCAACAGCGATGTCGCCTTTGGAACATCGCTGTTCAAGTTCATTTTTTCAAAAAAATATCCGTTGGCAACTGTATTTATTTGGCCTCCTACTCACCTTTTTCTCACATCTAAACACAATTTTCCTCATTCCCCTTGCTAATTTCATCTTCTCTACAACTTTTTCTTGAGAATTCTTCATCATCATGGGCAAAGATAAGAGCAGGGTAGGAACCTCCGGGAAATCAAAGTCCAAATCCCGGGAGCCGGCAACAAACTCCGAGGAGCGCCTCTACTACGGCGACGGGTCGTACCTCTGGTTTGATTCCGAGGAGGAGCGCACCCGCTTTCTCACCTTCTTCTCCAAGCAGGTTGTGGCTCCCACACATATTGTCATGGAGCACTTCCCAGAGTTGCAAGGCTACGACTTCCTCGACGGGCAGCTTCACCAAACTGGCCTATGGCCGTTCGTCTCCCGGGCTCAGAGTGAGATCAACCTGGCGCTTATTCGGGCCTTCTACTTGAATCTCCGGCGTGAGGACGACGTCATCTACAGCCTCGTCAAGTCAACGCTGATTGAACTCACCGTGGAGCGTCTTGGGCACATCGCCGGCCTCCCCTACCAAGGCGACGACATCTCCACCTATGGCGGAGAAGATTGGGTCCTCAACAATGAGGGCCTAGTCCTCGACAAGCTCGGCATCACCGACCTCATCCGCCATCCCACAGGCCAGCCCACCATCCACTCTGTGACCCCCGAGAGCTGTCTCCTTCTATACATCGTGTCCGAGATTATCAAGCCCCAGAAGCATGGGCACAGAATCATGTCCGGTGAGGACCTCAAGCTCCTCCACGCGATCATGCACTCGGCACCGATCAATTAGGCGAAGTTTGTCATGATCTACATGACGATCGCCGCGTCTACCTCCCACGATCACCTCCTCCCGTACCTTTTCTTGGTGATGGACATCCATGAACGGTTCAAGGTCACCACACCCGTTGGCCCGCTCACCAAGGCCACGAAGCTTTGGACGATCAACGCCCAAACCTTCACCAAGCGGTCGGACAACGCCGTGCCTGCCACTGCCGCACGCCGCCGTCCTGCCAATGGCCCAGCCGAACCCCAGGCCCGGGCCAATCTTGCCTCCATCGCCAACTCCCTCAACCGGCTGCACTTCAAAGTTGACGGGATGGACGGGTACCTTGAACGGCTCGACGAGGCTATTCAACGCCAAGGGCATTCCATGAACGCGTACTTCCAACGCGTCAACTACGTCCCCCCACCGTACCAAGGCACGTTCCTTAGGCAAGTGTACGGTGAAGAGGACGAAGACGATGGCTCCTACGCCCCGCCAAACTCCCTGGACGAGGATGAGTTCGACGACGCCATTGACGGTGATGAGATGGACGTCGACGACGACAAGGAGGAAACCGAAGACGAAGACTAGGCCGCCCCTAGAATTTCAATCTCCTTTCTTTCAATCGTCATATTTTTTTACTTGCTTCTGTTGTACTCCACTATTTCCCATTTCAATAAATAAAAGTTATATTTTATCTTTTTATTAATGTGAAAAGGGGGAAAACAAGGGCTATGCATACACTAAGGGGGAACGTCACTAAAAACGGGATCGTTTGATTTTAATATGACTACTTACTTTTAAGCACAAATTAAGGGGGAACTTTTTCACGCCTTTTGAAAATCAAATATCCCTTAGTATGCATATCCCTGTCTTGTTTTCCATTATCAAAAAGGGGGAAATTGTTGGAACACGGGTTTACGCCTACGTCATACTAAACCGTGTTCGTTTTATGACATGTTTTGATAATGCCAAACCGCCGTGATAACAAAATCAAGCTGAGCAAATCAAACGCAAAGGAACCTGGCATGACGAATTGAAAACCAAGAACCAAGAACCATAAACGAAGACTTAGAATTAATTGAGTCGGTCTTAATGTGATCAAGACCGGCACAAACTTCTAAAACTTGGCTCTCTAGGCTCACTTCATTAAAATATTCTTTTGCATATTAAAAAAAGATTTTCATAAGTTTTAAACAAGCCTAAAACTCTTGGTGTTCGCCCAAACCAAAAACCAAGCCATCCGGCGTTCGGTTTTCAGAAACTGGTGTTCGGCATTCGGTTATCGGCGTTGGTTTTTGGCATCCGAACCAACCAAGTGGTTTTCAACATTTTATGATTGGTTTTTTACTTCTGGGCATATTTAAATAGTTCTCCATTAAAAACGCTTCAAAAACCACCCTTTGTTTTTGGTCGTTTAGTAAAAACCATGCAAAACGGCGTAAACTTTGCTAGCCGTGGTTTTTATCTAAATGACGTGGTTTTCAAGATGTTTCACTTGATTTTGTTAGAATAATAGACCAACGCTAGAGGGGGGGTGAATAGCGTTTGATCGTAGAAATCGCAGGAATTTAAAAAATTAAAAGAGAAGTAAAGAGAAGAGTAAGAGGCACACCGAATTTTACCATGGTTCACCACAACTTGTGGCTAATCCAGCCTCCCGAGAGACTATCTCGAGCTACACTACTATCTCGTTAAGCTTGCGGGTGCTTAACAAACCGTTACAACTTGAGAGTTCGAGTTACACGAACCTCAACGAGTCCTTCAAAGGAAACACCCCTTCCTTTGAATCTACCGAGAGAAATACTTTCTCTCTAAGTGTGTAGGAACACAAATACACTTAAGAACGAGGCTCTCTTATAGAGTAGATTATGAGTAAACTAAGTACGCTCAAGAACACAACACAAGCTTCACAAAAATGGCTCTAAAAAAGCTATGAATAAAGAATGAGTGATTTGCAATGAAGGAGTAGGACTAAGCTGTTTCTGGGTCAACATCGCTGTCCTGAAACTTTCTGCCAATGCACTATATTTTTGGCTTAGGTTGGACAGCGCTGTAGGGAAGCCTACATCGCTGTTCCAGAAGTTTTTAGAAATCCAACCTTGGCTCAATAGCGATGTCTAGTGTGCAACATCGTTGTTGGAAAACTTAACGCCAAACCATGGTTTTCAGCTACTCAAGCCAGACAGCGCTGTTGGGTGCACCAACATCGCTGTTGGGCTGGTTTAGCCAGACCCATGGTTGGTTTAGTCATGCCGTTAGCCGATGTCAAAAACGTAAGTTCTCCAAAATAAAAACTAAGTGTTGAAAACATTTTTTTATTGCATTTTGTTAAGAAATCAAGTAAAACAACTCAAAAAGCACGTCATTTAGTTGAAAACCAAGGTGGTTTTTGAAGCGTTTTTGTTGGAGAATTGTTTAAATATGCCCAGAAGTAAAAACCAATCATAAAAAGTTAAAAACCACTTGGTTGGTTCGGATGCCCAAAAACCAATGCCGAAAACCGACAGCCGAACGCTGGTTTCTGAAAGCCGAACGCCGGATGACTTGGTTTTTGGTTTGGGCGAACTCTAAGTGTTTTTAGCCAGGTTTAAAAACTTATGAAAAACATTTTTGAATTTGCAAAAAGGGTTTTGATGAATTGAGCCTAGAGAGCCAAGATTTGGAAGTTTGTGCCGGTCTTGATCATGTCATCAAGCCGTGTTCTTGATTCTGGTTCTTGGTTCACATGTCATCATTCCGTGTTTCTTCGCCTTGGTTTTGCTCACTTTAGTCTTGTTGTTTCACGGCGGTTTGGCATTATCAAAACCTGTCATAAAAACGAACACAGTTTAGTACGACGTGGGCGTAAACCCGTGTTCCAACAATTTCCCCGTTTTTGATAATGGCAAACAAGACGGGGATATGCATACTAAGGGATATTTGACTTTGAAAAGAGTGAAAAAATTCCCCCTTAATTTGTGCTTAAAAAAATTGTCATATTAAAATCAAACGATCCCGTTTTTAGGGACGTTCCCCCTTAGTGTATGCAAAACCCTTTTCTTCCCCCTTTTGACATTAACAAAAAGATAAAGGATAACTTTTATTTATTGAAGATGGGAAATAGCGGAGTACAACGGAAGCATTAAAAAAAACAGGATAATTAAAATAAAAGAGATAGAAATTCTAGGGGTGTCCTAGTCTTCGTCTTCGGTTTCCTCGTCGTCATCGTCGACGTCCATCTCATCACTGTCAACGGGGTCGTCGAACTCATCCTCGTCCGGGGAGCTTGACGGGTTGTAGGAGGCATCGTCTTCGTCCTCGTCACTGTACACTTGCCCAAAGAACGTGCCATGGTACGGTGGGGGGGACGTAGTTAACACGTTGGAAGTACGCGTTCATGGCGTACCCTTAGCGTTGGACCGCCTCGTCAAGCCTCTCAAGGTAGCCATCCATCCCATCAACTTTGAAGTGCAGCCGGTTGAGGGAGTCGGCCATGGAGGAAAGGTTGGCCCGAGCATGGGGTTCGGCTGGGCCAGCAGCAGAACGGCGCCGTGGCACGGCAGTGGCAGGTCCAGCGTTGTCCAACTGCTTCTTGAAGGTTTGGGTGCTAATCGCCCAAATCGTTGTTGAGCCAAGGTTGTTGAGCCAAGGTTGGGTTTCCAGAAACATCTGGAACAGCGATGTAGACTACCCTACATCGCTGTCCAACCAAAGCCAAAAAGAAATGCCTTGATAGAAAGTTTTTGGGCAGCACTGTTGACCCAACAACAGCGATGTCAGACCAATTCTTTCCCCTTCAAAGTCACGCCTGAACAGTGATGTTTAAGTAATGAACATCGATGTAGGCACCTGACCGTTGGAAGGAATTTATGGCTAAAACTTTCCTTGTTTGGAAGTCAACAGCCAAAACAGCGATGTAGGGGTTTTGGATATCGCTGTTGGCTTGACCGTTGTTCCCATTTTTCAAAAACTAAGCCTAGAACAGCGATGTCCAAGCCATGGACAGCGCTGTCTAGAAGATTTTCAGCAGATCCAATTTTAATCAAATCCCACAAATTGTGTCAATCACCCCCATTCAACTCCTACCCATTGGAGCCTATTTTTCTACTATAAAATGAGGTGTTTGGGTTTGCTTTACACACCACATTACTTCACAACTCTTATGGTGGTCCCAAAGTGGTGATATACAAAGTCTAGAGGGGGGAGGTGAATAGACTTTGTTACAAATTTAAAATCCTTTTCGTTTCTTTTGAAAACGTGAAAATGGGTGTTAATCTAGAGTTCTTGTGAACTTAGATTGTGTGCGGAAGTTGGTGGGTAAATAGAGCAGTAATCAATATGGATGGGTTAGTTTCACAGTCAATATAATTGCAAGTATAAGTAAAGATAAAAGAGAGAGACACGCAAACTTTAACGAGGTTCGAAGGTGGGGTAATCCTTCTACGTCCTCAAAATCCACTATGTAGTTGGTCGTTGAATAATGAACCAACAATTACACTTGTGTGAATTTCTGCATGGTATATCTTCGCAAGGCCAATGTTGCAACTCCACACGTGCTGGCTCTGTTGTTCCTTTGAAGGTGACGGTTCTTCAACAACTGCGAGATCCGAACAATAGGACTTTTAAGATCAACTTGTAGAAAAGTTGATATACCCTGTTTTAATCAAGAAGTTTGATTAAAAGTTGTATCCTTCAACGTGGTGTGATACTTGAGGCAAGGAAACCTTCAAGTGTTTACACTATAGCTCTTTGGAACGAGGAGAAGTTTGCTTCTAGATAAGGAGTTTAGAAATCTCTCTTTATCAAGCTTTTTGTGAATGAGATAGTTGTAGTTTGTTGTTGTTGTTGTAATCTTGCTTTGTTCGCTATCTCATGCCCGTATTTTTCTCTAGTCTTCCATGGAAGCTATATATAGCTGGATGATATATCTTAAGTGTGGTTATTGTTGAAACACGGGTTTATCATGTTTTCGTACTAAAGCCATGTTCGTTTTTATGACAGGTTTTGATAATGCCAAACCACCGTGAACGAGACAAGTTGTTAAATAGTTTTCCATCAAAAACACTTCAAAAACCACCTTTCGTTTTTCGTCGTTTGATAAAAACCATGCGAAATGGCATAAACTTGGCTAGCCGTGGTTTTACTTAAATGAAGTGGTTTTCGAGTCTTTTTGTGTGGGAACTGGTTTTGAATGAATTTAAATGGTTCTATAATCAAAACATCATGAAAACCACCATTCGGTTTTGTCTTTTGGTAAAGACCACCCGTGTACGGCATTGACTTGGTCAACCGTGGTGTTACCTTAACGACGTGGTTTTCAACTTACAAATCTTGATTTGACATCAAAATACATCAAATAAGTGTTTTATATACTTAGTTTTTACTTTGGAGAACTTTGCATTTTTCGGTCGGGTTTTAGTGCCGGTCAGCTAGGCCATGGTTCGGGGCTAGCCATCTACCCAGCGATGGTAGATATCACCCATCCATGGGTAAGTTATCTCGGGATTCCAGAATCATGCCAGCGAGCGATGGGAGATATTACCCAGTGATGGGTAAGCGGCCTTCAGCCCACTTGAATTCCAGAACCATGCCAAACAGCGACGGGAAGTTCTACCCATCGCTGTTCAAGCCTTGGTCCAACATTATGACAAGGCAGAATGCCCTTACCTAGCGATGGGAATCTTTACCCATCGATGGGAACCCAGCGATGGGAGGGCATACCCATCGATGGTTAGGCATGACCGTTGGAAGTCATTTAAGGCTGATTCTTTCCTTGTTTGGAAGTCAACCTCCCACCTAGCGATGAGAAGCTTGTACCCATCGATGGGTAGGTGACCGTTGGCTTCAAAACTGAAGGAAAATTGGCTTACTAGCGATGGGTAAGTCCATACATCGCTGGGAAGCCAATATCCTGCAGATCCACACTTTAATCAATCCCATAAATCAAGACAATGATCCCCTTAATGCCTTGGTCCGTTGGAGCCTATTTTGGCGCTATAAAAAAGGGTGTTTGGGTCTGCTTTACATATCAATTCACTTCACAATATTCATATTATTATTGCATTCAAACCACATTATTTTCCATAGCTTTCTAGAGCCAATTTGTGTGAAGTTTGAGTTGTTCTTGAGCGTATGCATTTTACTCAATATCCACTCTTAAGGAGAGTCTTGTTCTTGAGTGTCTTAGTGTTGTATACACGTTAAGGGAAGCCTGTTTCCCTTGGTTGTATGAAGGAAAGGTATTTTCCTTCGGGTTGAAGTCTTGGAGTGCGGTATCTCCGAGCAAGTGTTGTTGAGGCTCTTTGGACTCGAGTTCTCAGGTTGTAACGGTTTGTTAAGCACCCATAAGCTTAACGAGAAAGTAGTGTAGCTCGAGAGAGTCTCTCGGGAGACTGGATTAGCCACACGTTGTGGTGAACCAGTATAAATCTTGGTGTGCTCCCTTTACGCTTTCTACACTCTTTACTTTTCACGTTCTTAATTTTTTATTCCTACGATTTCTACGATCAAATGCTATTCACCCCCCTCTAGCGTTGGTCACTTATTCTAACAATTGGTATCAGAGCCTAACTCGCGTCCAAACTTAACCGTTTGAGAGTAAAAGCGATCATGGGTTCTTCTTCTTGAAATTTGTACGTAGGAATAGGTGAAGGGCAATCAACTACACGGCCACCTCTTTTTGATGGAACCAATTATACATATTGGAAAGAACGAATGAGAATCTATATTCGTTCCACAAACTTCCAATTATGGTTGGTTATCAAAAATGGGGAAGAGGTGTCGATGAAGAAAGTTGGCGACAAGTTGATCCCCAAGACCGAAGACGAGTTTGATGCCGAGGACATCAAAAAGGTCGAGAACTATGCAAAGGCAATAAACATGCTTTATTGTGCTGTAAATCCTGATGACTACCGCAAGATCTGCTGCTGCTCAACCGCCAAGAAGATGTGGGATAAACTTGAGGTGACGTACGAAGGAATGGACAGAGTACGTGAAGCCAAGATTGACTTCCTCACCCAAGAAAATGAGATGTTCAGGATGAAGGAGCACGAGAAGATCGACGACATGTTCCACCGATTTTCCAAGATAGTCAACGATCTTCATGCATTGAAGGACATCCGAATGGCGATCTAAGGCCGATGCCATCTATGAGTCAATCGGCACATCGAATGTCACCATCGACGGTTTGAGAGGTAACTTAAAAACGTATGAATCTACAATACTTAACCCGTCTTTGAATGATCAGAGAAAAGGAATAGCATTAAAAGCCTCCAAAGAACCGGCAATGAATGACTCAAGCGACGAAGATGAAGTTAAGCTTGTCATGAAGAAGTTTTGCAAACTTCTAAGGAAGAAAGAAAAGGTTGAGAATGGCCTTGTGTGCTATGGATGTGGTGAAGCCGGGCACATCAAGAACAAATGCCCAAGAAGCGGAAGGAACACTCGTCACTTCAAAAAGCAAAGAGCATACATCTCTTGGGGTGGCGACTCCGGCGATGAGTCAAGCGAGCAAGAGGAAGACGAAGAAGCAAACCTTTGTCTCATAGCTCAAGAAGAAGAGGAGTCCGCCAACGATGAAAACCAAGAGGTATGTAATTCTTCTACCGTTTCTTATTCTCTTGAAGAAATGCAAGAAGCTCTCCAAGAGCTTTATGACGAGTTTGTTAGCGCTTCTAAAACCAACAAAGCTTTAAAGAAACATTTTTCTAATCTTGAAACTGACCTTGAAAAACTTCAAAAGGAAAACGAAAAACTAAAAGAGGAAAATAAGTTTTATGGTAAAAGAAGCGCCGACAAACCCGAGAGCTCTACGAAACATTGTGACGCTTGCATAGCTTTGAAAGAACAAGTCACAAAACTTGAGAGTACAGTTAAGAAATTTAATACTCCGCACAAAGATCTTAATTTACTCCTTGACACTATGCACTTTTCTAAAGTAGGAATAGGTTTTAATAAAAATGAAGCTAAGGATAAAGAAAACGTTGAGCAAACACCTAGACAACCTCCTAAGGCTCAACGTAAGAAAGCTAAAAATCAAGTTAATAGAAAACCTAGTCAATCTAAGAACACTAGACAACCTAGACAAAAACCTAGGAATGAAAATGTTCATGGTAGACAACCTAAGAAAAATTATTAAAATGATTTTGTGCATAGTAATAATTTTTCTCAAAATAGAAGAAACAATATGAGAACACCTAGAAATGATCCTTTTGAAAACATGCATAAACCATCCTTTTCTCAAAATAGGACAAACATGGTTAGGCCCTCTAGCTATTATCAACCCAGGCATATGTTCAACCCAAACGTAGTATGCCATTATTGCAATAAGGTAGGACATATAGCTTCCGTGTGTTTTACTAGACATAGGCACTCCACCTATAATGAAACACACAACATTTTTGGTGCTAACGAAAAGAAATCCTTTAGAAAAGGATATTTGTATCATAGGCAATCTCCACATGAAAATGCACAAAAGAAACCATATTATTTCTTCTACTTTGACGAAAAGAAGAAAGTCCACATTCCGTTACCGGAACCAACACAGACCACACCGAGATATCGGCACTCTGTTCAAGTAGACTGGAACCCGCCAACCACGAGACGATGGGTTGGCCAAGATAACTCCTAAACGATCATCTAATCGTGTGTGTGTGTGGGCGCGTAAGAAAACGAGTTTTGGGTGTGTGTGGGCAATAAAGGTTAACTAACCCCCAAGGAACCATAGACACACTTTGGGTACCAAAGTATTGTTTTTTTTTGCAGGTACGTATCAAAGTGAGGAACTCAGGGGGAACCAGCGATGGGTGGTTTATCCCATCGCTGGGAAGGAAGTATTTTCTAACCAGCAGCCCTCTTCCCATCGATGGGAACTTCTTCCCATCGCTGGGTGTTTGACACTTTTTTTAAATTTTTTTTAACAGATTTCCAGTAGCTGTCTTCCCATGGATGGGAGAACCTTACCATTGCTGGGAAGGCTGCCTTCACTTTTTCCTCCCTTTCCAGCACTTGTCTTCCCATTCATGGGAGAACCTTACCATCGCTGGGAAGCCTGCTGCAGTTCAAAAATCATAGCCGTTGGGAACCTCATTCAATGCCCAACAGCCATATTTTTGAACACCAAGGGCCCAAATTCTCTTTTCCTATAAATATTAACCATCCTTGGTCATTTTTAACACACAATTCACATTCCTCTTGCATACTTTAAGCCTCTACTCACTTTCTAAACACTTCATCAATTGCCAGAGGAAAGTCAAGGACCAAAACCAAGGCTTCAAAGAAGAAGCCCAACACCGACGCCACGACCTCTTCTATATTTTCTCCTTATTAAATATGATTGTATTTTTATCCATTGTATTCTGCATTTCCCTTTTAATGAATAAAAGTTTATTTTTAATTCATTTTGTTAATGTCAAAAGGGGGAAGATATAAAGGTTATGCATAGATTGAGGGGGAACTTTTTCTAAAACTAACTCTTATTCAACACATAAACTTTGTTGAAAAGAAAATTGCATTTATTAAGGGGGAACATTTTTAAGTTTCAAATTAATCCTCCTATGCATAACCCCATCTTGTTTTCCATTATCAAAAAGGGGGAAATTGTTGAAACACGGGTTTATCGTGTTTTCGTACTAAAGCCATGTTCGTTTTTATGACAGGTTTTGATAATGCCAAACCGCCGTGAACGAGACAAGTTGTTGAATATACAAGGCGAGAAATAGATATAAGAAGAAAGCAAGAGAACCAGAGCTAAAAGAGGCCAAGAACGAAGACCGTAGTCTTTAGCGTCGTTGAGTCGGTCACAATGTGATCAAGACCGACCCAAGCTTTGCACTTTGGCTCTTTAGGCTAAAACATTTTTTATTGCATTTTACATATCATCAAAAATATTTTCAAACATGCTTAAACATATTAAAAACACTTGGCGTTCGCCGAAACCAAAAACCAAGTCCTCCGGGGTTCGGCTTTTGGAAACCAGCATTCGCCATTCGGTTATCGGCGTTGGCTCTTGGCGTCCGAACCAACCAAGTGGTTTTCAACTTTTTATGATTGGTTTTTAATTCTGGGAACATTTAAATAGTTTTCCATAAAAAACACTTCAAAAACCACCTTTCGTTTTTCGTCGTTTGATAAAAACTATGCGAAAAGGCATAAACTTGGCTAGCCGTGGTTTTACTTAAATGAAGTGGTTTTCGAGTCTTTTTGTGTGGTAATTGGTTTTGAATGCATTTAAAAGGTTCTCCAATCAAAACATCATGAAAACCACCTTTCGGTTTTGTCTTTTGGTAAAAACCACCCGTGTACGGCATTGACTTGGTCAACCGTGGTGTTACCTTAACGACGTGGTTTTCAACTTACAAATCTTGATTTGACATCAAAATACATCAAATAAGTGTTTTATATACTTAGTTTTTACTTTGGAGAACTTTGCATTTTTCGGTCGGGTTTTAGCGCCGGTCAGCTAGGCCATGGTTCGGGGCTAGCCATCTACCCAGCGATGGTAGATATCACCCATCCATGGGTAAGTTATACCCATCGCTGTTCAAGCCTTGGTCCAACATTATGACAAGGCAGAATGCCCTTACCTAGCGATGGGAATCTTTACCCATCGATGGGAACCCAGCGATGGGAGGGCATACCCATCGATTGTTAGGCATGACCGTTGGAAGTCATTTAAGGTTGATTCTTTCCTTGTTTGGAAGTCAACCTCCCACCCAGCGATGGGAAGCTTGTACCCATCGATGGGTAGGTGACCGTTGGCTTCAAAACTGAAGGAAAATTGGCTTACCAGCGATGGGTAAGTCCATACATCGCTGGGAAGCCAATATCCTGCAGATCCACACTTCAATCAATCCCATAAATCAAGCCAATCATCCCTTTAATGCCTTGCTCCGTTGGAGCCTATTTTGGCACTATAAAAAGGGGTGTTTGGGTGTGCTTTACATATCAATTCACTTCACAATATTCATATTATCATTGCATCCAAACCACATTATTTTCCATTGCTTTCTAGAGCCAATTTGTGTGAAGTTTGAGTTGTTCTTGAGCGTATATATTTTACTCAATATCCACTCTTAAGGAGAGTCTTGTTCTTGAGTGTCTTAGTATTGTATACACGTTAAGAGAAGCCTGTTTCCCTTGGTTGTATAAGGGAAAGGTATTTTCCTTCGGGTTGAAGTCTTGGAGTGCGGTATCTCCGAGCAAGTGTTGTTGAGGCTTGTGGGACTCGAGTTCTCAGGTTGTAACAGTTTCTTAAGCACCCACAAGCTTAACGAGAAAGTAGTGTAGCTTGAGAGAGTCTCTCGGGAGACTGGATTAACCACACGTTGTGGTGAACCAGTATAAATCTTGGTGTGCTCCCTTTACGCTTTCTACACTCTTTACTTTTCACGTTCTTAATTTTTTATTCCGACGATTTCTACGCTCAAACGCTATTCACCCCCCCTCTAGCATTGGTCACTTATTCTAACAGTTATCTTAAGTGTGAGTTTTAGGTTCTTGTTATTTGGATAAGTGTGTCATATCTTATTTGAATACTAGATACAAACCCCAAGTTGGGATAAGAATGTGTAATATCTCTTAAACACCAACTTGGCTTTATCCATCCCTAATTTTCTACCATTTGATATCTCCACATTTCTCTTCTTAACCTTATTCTTTTCTTCCATTAAAAACCCCTAAAAGAACTGTAACGCCCTCAAACCAACCTAGTTTTAAATAAATAAATATTATTGAGACTCATTATTTTAAATTAATAAATAATGAGATTACGATCCGTTCAAATAACTTCCACAGTTAATGTATTTTAATTATGAAAGATGTTTTAATAACGGTTCTCTCGACGTTAATTAATTAATTAATGGTTGGGACGGACCCGGAAGTTTGAAAATAAAGTTTTGAGAAAAATATTTTGAAGATATCATAAATTTAGTTTTGACTATTTATTTCCGAAAATGCAAACAGTTTTCAATTCGGACAAGTTCGGGGGGAAACCGCGTACCGTTCAGATCAGATTTTACACAATGGAGTGGAATCTAGGGAGATAACTCCCATTCAAACCACACGCCACTACACACTCTTCATCTCCCATAAACCCCCATTCATATCCCATCATTATTTCCCCATTATTCCTCCATAAATTCCCATAATTTCTCATGATTATAAAACTCCTCTTCCTCTTCATTTCCCTTCATCATTTGTAACTCCCCTCACACACTCAACCCTCCCCTTTTCCTTCTCTTGTTCGGCCAACCAAGGCATCCAGACGAGGAGACCATTCCAGCAAGTAGACGGGGACATAGAGGAAGGAAGTTCACACAAGAAGTTCATCCGTTTGTTGGTTCATTGCTAATCGTTCGTTCATCTCATCCTATCGTT